AACGCGCTTTTAGGAAATCCTATACACTACTGCAAGAAGCCTCCCAGATCTCCAGATGCATTTGAGATATCAAAAAAGTACTCCAGAGTGTTGTTCAGCATGGGGGTGAGTAGAAAATGAAGGCTAATCATGTTTTGGGTGTACTATTCCTTTAAGGACAAGGGACACTTATTTGAGGACCAGGATACTCACATTTTGGACAAAGAAGACAGGTGGTTTGAAAGGGGCGTGAAGGAAGCCATCTATGTTAAGAAAGAAAAAAATACCCAAAACAGAGTGGGGGTGGACTCAGATCTCAGCTTTCAAACACCTACAATGCAGCGATAGAGTTGATTCCGTCCTGATATCATAATCCTCATCATCATGCACCGGACCAAGACTACCTATCTTATTAGCCAACAATGACCCTAACGACTCCCTTTTTGAGGTATAGGCCAGTATCGGGTTTTGCAGGCCAACAAACTACTCAACGACCCCCCCTATAGGGGTGGACCTGTTTTTTGGTTCAATTTGCATGTTTTCTAAGCCACAACAAGGCTTTTGTTTGGGCCACTCTATAAGCCTGGAACCCAGTGCTAATCCAGATGTTTTTAATTGAGAAATATTTCTGAATGGGAAGCGAAACATCTTCAGACTTGGAAAACAAGTCCAGCAGTTTGTTTTTTAACTTTTTAAATTTTTAGGAACGACTATGACCTGGATGACTGATAGTCTTCACACTTTATTTTTAATGTCTTTAGATATGTTAAAATAAAATGATTCGGGAGCTTAAAAACCCCTGATTTTAAGCTGTAATCATCTTTTTGTTTATATTATAGAGTTTTTTAGGGTTTATATGTTTCACTGATAAGTTCATCTGATTTCTGGCTAAATATTCAGTTTTCAACTCGTTTTATTTGACTTAGCTAATTATTTTCCAATGTTCCAGATTTTATTTTAATCTTTAATTTTACCCATGTCCCTGACGTTAGGACCTTTCTACCTCCTAACATCCTCCACTATGTTCTTTTTCGCTTGTTCTCCTCTCTTTTCCTCTAAGTGTCCAAGCGAGACGTACGACGCTCTGCACAAGTCCACCAAGGACTTCCCAGATGAGGTGGTGAGCTTCATACGGCAGCACCAGCTGATGTGGGAGCCCGTCCTGCCCCTGGGCGGCCGACCCGTCCTGACCCGGGTCAACTCTCCGTACCTGCTGAAGAAGGTTGTTGTGGACCGAGTGGAGGCTCAGGATGGACCGTATGATGTCTTACACCTGGGGACAGGTGAGGGGGAGGATGAGGAGGTGATGAAAATCAGTGAGTTAGTGGAGGTGGTTTTCAGAAGATTTGCTGCTATAGGGAGCAATAATTAAAATGAATGGTTCATATTCAGTTTTTTATTGCTGGTAAGGTTCATTCTGCTTCAGTTTCCTATAAATTGTGTCTTTATGTGTCTTCAGCTGCAGTAGCTGCTGTCAGTTTGTAAAAAGTCCTTTAAGATGATTCTGTGTGTTTGGACCCTGACCGGGTTCCTGATGAATGAGGGGTCATATAAGGGCTGGTGACAGATCGGGGGGCCAGAGTTGCTCCAACTGCTCCATATATCTCCTGTAAGTGGATTCCTCTCTCCGACCTCTCACCCCCCCACCCACCCCCCCATCAGCAGCACATTTAGCAGCCTGGATAAAACCTTCTCTCTGCTTCAGGAGCTCAGTTTTTACACTGCAGAACAGGAAGAATTTTCTTCTATCTTCACTGACTCAGGTTTTTCCAGCCCAAAATATGTTCATAAACCACCTGCTTTATATGATGAATCTCTTCCCACTGTGGTACGAGACTATTAACTCATCTGAAACTAGAGATCTTACTCTCTATGCTGTGGAAATCTAAACATCAAGTTCAGTAAATGTTCTTTGAAACACTCATAACTTGCTTGTTGTTAAACATTAAACCCGCAGCAACCAAAGTGTCACATATAAGACAAAGACTGTAAAGGTCGGGTAAAAAAGTTTGTTCTCATCATGTTGTCACGGCGGCTGCAGCTTCCTGACCCACAGAATCAGCTGCTGCTGTGCATCAATCAGGGGAAGGTTAGGAGGCCATTTCCTAACAGAACGCCATGATTCCACAGAAGGAGAGACACAACATTCCCAGGATGTTCTTCATCTTCTATATACATCTTATTTTATTTTGAAAACAGGCATAATTAACAATCAGTAACGTGTCAGGCTAGAAATGGTCCACACTATCTAGATGTAGTAAAACAGATTTGAGCTTGTTTCACAGAAAGATCCAGAATCAGTCCAGATAGTCTATCAGCACACGTGTTGCATTTGATGCGTTTGGGTTTAGGTGTTTTTCTTATTTTTTTTGTCTTACATCTGATTTGTGCTTCTTGTTGTCTTCATGTAAATCTTTTCACGTGCTGAGAGCTTTCAGAGTTTGTCTTTCCGTATGTGAGGTAGTTTTTACAGCTTTATCACCTCATTCATCTTCATGTTCATGCCTTTAGTATCTATGCTTCTTTTTCTATGTCTTCTTCTGTCTCCTTGAACCCCAGTCAGCCTCAGCACATGGCCGC